CAAAGGGGCACTGCTGATGGTTAGCCATCACCTAGAATCCAGGCATCCAGGCCCAGAATCCTGAACAGGGAAAGGGGCAGAGCCCCCAGATAGGACCCCCCAGGGCCCCAGGATTCAGTGTGTGAATACAGGGGACTACAATGTAGAAATGAGAGGAAGTGAACTGACCAGTACTCAGCAAGGCTGTATTAGATCCTAAGACACACAGGTGTTCTGCGACCTTGGGCAGACTATGAGCCTTAGAATGCAGGAGAGAAGGGCCCTGGACCCTTGTTTGGAGCCCCAGTGAAAGGGTGAACATTTCTAATCTTTGGTTAAACATTTCACAAAATGTTTCTTTTAATGGTGCCACTTAGAAAAAGGGTTTTTGTTTTGGAAAACAAGTTGAAAAATAGGATTGAATAGGTTTGCTTACTGCAGGACTTTGATACTCTAACAGAGTATAACATTTCCTAGAAATAGTTGACCAGGGAATTCATCACAGAGTACATTGTAGGACTGGATTCTCCAAGACACTGAGAAAGGATGCCCTAGTTCCTTTCTGGTCCTCCCTTAAATTCCTTTTCTCCAACTCCCTTTCCTCCAGGAACAGCAAACCACGAAATCGTCCATCATTCCGACAGATCCTGCTACATCTGGACATCGCCTCAGCAGATGTCCTTTCCACACCCCAGGAGACTTATTTTAAGTCCCAGGTGTGCTGTGGGCAGAAAAATGAACACTTCAGCTCCCTCTCTTTGAGGAGATGCTCTTTGAGGGAAGAAGCATTGCTTGGGATGGAATTGATGAGCTTTTGGAGGGCCGAGGCTAGTGTTGGTCACCTAGTTCCAACAGTTTGCAACAGTGCCCACACCTGCGGGGGCCTTCTACGTGTATGCCCAGTTAAGGCATGTTTCTCACTCCTCACTGTGTCTCCACACCCCAGGCAGAGTGGCGTGAAGAGGTAAAGCTGCACTTTGAAAAAATTAAGTCAGAAGGGACCTGTCTGCACCGCCTGGAAGAGGAGCTAGTGATGCGGAGGAGGGAGGAGCTCAGGTGTGTGCCTGTTTGGAAAGGTGGTTATATCCTAAAGCAGGGACTGTGGACCAGTTCCCAGAGACTGGGACAAACTATTGTACCAAGTGAAGCCAGCTCAACTTGAGGACTTCTCTGACCATTTTAGACACGCCTTGGACATCAGGGAGCACTATGAACGGAAGCTAGAAAGAGCCAACAACCTTTACATGGAACTTAATGCCCTTATGTTGCAGCTGGAGCTCAAGGAACGGGAACTCCTCAGGTAAACCATGAGGTCCTTAGGCAGCTCCTAATCCCGTCTTCGTGGAGCTGTGCCTAACTCAGATCCTCCTGGGCCTGGGTCCCATGTGTCGTCGTCCCCCCCCCCCCCGCTTTTGCTCACATGCCCAATGCAGTGGCATCTGTCTTTAGGAGGGAGCAAGCTCTAGAGCGGAGGTGCCCAGGTCTGCTGAAGTCACACCCTTCCCGAGGCCTCCTGCATGGGAACACAATGGAGAAGCTCATCAAGAAAAGGAATGCTCCACAGAAGCTGTCACCCCACAGCAAAAGGTGGGACCTAAGTGCTGAGGTTCAAAAATGGCAATGGGGGTGCTGGAGAAGCAGGGGATAGGAGTCCACGATGCCAGGAATACTGTATTAAAACGGAAGGAGCCCTGGCCAGGAACTAAAGTTGGTTAGGGTATTGATACTATGCCATGGTTGCAGGTTCAATCCCTGGTCAGGGCACCAAGACTCAATCAATGAATGCGTAAATGGAACACCACATTGCTTTCTCCTTTCCTTTAAAAGTCATTAAATTTTTTTTTTTTTTAGTTGGGGAGAGATGTGCTCTTTGGCCCAAAGTTAGGGAATGCTTTTCACAGTAAATTTGTTGTTAAACTAAACTTGTCCTTTCCCTCTCCCACCAGGCCAGATATCCTGAAGACTGAGTCTTTGCTACCAAAACTAGATGCAGCCCTGAGTGGGGTGGGTCTTCCTGGGTGTCCTAAGGGTCCCCCCTCACCAGGACGGAATCGCCGTGGCAAGACCCGTCATCGCAAGGCCAGCGCCAAGGGCAGCTGTGGGGACCTGCCTGGGCTTCGTGCAACTATGCCACCCCATGAACCTGGGGGACCAGGAAGCCCAGGAGTGCTAGGAGGGGGACCCTCAGCCTGGGAGGCCTGCCCTCCAGCCCTCCGTGGCCTCCATCAGGATCTCCTGCTGCGAAAGATGTCCTCTTCGTCCCCAGATCTGCTGTCAGCAGCACTGGGAGCCCGGGGCCGGGGGGCCACAGGGGGACCTGGGGATCCTGGCTCACCACCTGCAGCCCGGGGTGACACCCCCCCAAGTGAGGGCTCAGCACCTGGCTCCACCAGCCCGGATTCACCTGGGGGAGCCAAAGGGGAGCCACCTCCACCAGTAGGGCCTAGTGAAAGTGTGGGGCTCCTGGGAACTGGACGGGAAGGGACCTCGGGACGGGGAGGAAGCCGGGCTGGGTCCCAGCACTTGACCCCAGCTGCACTGCTGTACAGGGCTGCTGTCACCCGGAGTCAGGTAAACTATAGGACAGTTCCTGAGCTCCTCCTTTCCTTGTTCCCCTCCTTTCCTTGTTCCCCTGGGGTCCAATTCCATTAACTCTTGACGTCTAGCCATTCCCTTTATAATTATGTTCTCCTTCCCTGGGCCGATTGCCTCTTCCCATTTTTGACCAGTCCACTCATCTGCAGAAACGTGGCATATCATCAGAGGAAGAGGAAGGAGAGGTAGACAGTGAGGTAGAGCTGACATCAAACCAGAGGTGAATGAAGGAATAAAATAAATAATGGTCTTCATTTGCTTTCTGGGCTGCAAGGAGCGCCATATCAAGCTGTAGCTGTCTCTGACACAGGTGGCCTCAGGGCCTGAACATGCGCCAGTCACTGTCTACCTTCAGCTCGGAGAATCCATCAGATGGGGAGGAAGGTACAGCTAGTGAGCCATCCCCCAGCGGAACACCTGATGTTGGCAGTACCAACACTGATGAGCGGCCAGATGAGCGGTCTGATGACATGTGTTCCCAAGGGTCAGAAATCCCACTGGACCAACCTGCTTCAGAGGTAGTTACTGGCCCTGAACCCAGTTCCTTGCCCATCCAGCACCAGGACCTACTACTCAGAGGGAACAAGGTGAGTAACAAAAAACAAACAAAACACAAAAAACAGCCAGGTGTTGGATAGGAAACAGATATATGGTCATTTCAGAGCTACTGGGGAGAACAGGTGCAGAGGCCAAAACATAGGTATTTATCACTCAGTTCATTCAATATGTAAACTGTCTCCACCAATACCAAAGAGCAAATTTTCCACCTGGTGGAACAGGAGGCCTGTAGAATGGAGAGCTTAGTAGGTCTGCTTACATAGTAGCTCTAATCACAGCCAGGGAGAAATCATGAAACTAGGAGTCTCGAACCTTGAAGAGCCTAACTACACAACAAAACGTGGAGGTAATTAAGCTAGTGAGCTGCTATTAAAACAGACTTCAGTGGTAAGAATATGAAGGTATCTATTTATAATACAAGAGACGCCAGACCAACACCTCACTGCATGTCTACTCTTCACAGGGCCCTCCCAATTCTGAGGACTCAGACTGTGACAGCACTGAACTGGACAACAACAGTGGCGAAGCCTTGCAGCCCCCAGCCTCCCTCCCTCCATGAAAGCCACGCTTATTCCTGTACATAGAGAAATATTTATATAAATAATATATATGCACCACATAACAGAGAAAAGATGGGGCTACTCCAGCCTTAAGTCAGGTTCAAGGGAGATCAACCCCTGACTGATCCACCTGATAAACTCTAGGGACACTGGCAGCTGTGGAAATACAGGACAAGGACTGCCCTAGAGTTGTGGGTAAGGGCAAACTGACCCCTCCCTGCTCCACCCCATTATGTTCAGCAAACAGGCAGTAGAGAAATCAGACTTGCCTCCTATGATCCTCTATACCTTTCCCCAAAACCCTGAGGAAAGGGAGCCACTTAACTGCACTTTTTTGTTTTGTTTACAGTTTACACATTTTGCACTTGAGGAGGGAGACTAAGGTCGGGTCCTATTCCTCTTGAGTTTTCTCAGGTGCAATGTAACTAATTTCTTTGTCCCTCCATTTCTCTGCCCAAGTCCTGGCTTAGGGTCTAGGAGGGAGGTTAGAAGGTTGTAAAAGCATGTGATGGCTCAGGCTGAAGAACTGGGGTGTTAAGTCCCTGCTTATCTTGGTGCCTGATTGGGGTGGAGATTGTCATATTGTAATCCCTGTGAAAAACCTTGAAATATAACCACTCCATGCAGGCCCAGCTGTTGAGGGTTTTCTTGGTAAACAAATGGGGTACCACACATGGTGAAATAGTAGCCTTGGGCTCCAGACATTATCTGAGGACCATGGACACAATACTTCTTTAATGCTTTTCTCACTAAATGAACATCACTTAAGCTACAATCTGCTAAAATTATCTGCATAAAAGGGAGCGGGTAACTCCAAAAGATGATCTTAAAATACCCACTCTTAATATGGAGAAGAGGACTGTAAATGAATAGTTATTGAAAATCAGGACACTTTAGCTTGGGCAAGAGGACATTCCTAGCAACCTGAATCCCAGTCCGACACACTTCCAACTGTTTCCATGTGTGCACGCACATGTCCTCCCCACACCCCTCTACCACCCAGTGGAATCGCTTGACTATTCTTACAGGTAAATCCTAGAGAATGTACTCTCCAACCTTTGGAATCAAAGGCATGGCCAGCCTGCTCTATTAGGATCACTTCAATGCAGGTCTCAAGGGAAAACCAAATCAAGGGCTACAAAAAAAAAAGATGGAGTGGTAAACGGAAGAAACAACTGGAATAAGGCTCATTAAAAACCCAAGCAGGGTCCTTGTCCTTTGAGGGATGAAAGGTGCAAAATAAAAGACAACAGGAATAAACCCACGTGAATCACTGTGGCATCCAGTTTCTATTCACAAAGAAAAAGCTCCAGTCCATCTTTTAATTTTTTTTTGAAAAATTCCTGACATTACAGAACTAAACTGAAATGTATTAATATTCCACTCTTACATTTCCATGACAAACAGAAAAAAAAAATTTCATGAGCCAAAAAACAAAAACAGGGAGAAGCTTATAAAACTAAATATGGATCTCAGCATTAACAGCTGAACATAGAAAGGAATTAAAACGCTTTAATTAAAAAATCACGAGTGGATGATAAAGTGTGTAGAAACTGAAAATTTACAAACTATTTAAAACCTGGAATCGCTGACTGTTCAGAAACTACACAGATGGATCATGGGTGGTGGTGAACAGCAGAAAGGGATTATGGATGAATCTGCATTGTTCTAGCTGCTCCCCATGCCACCCGTCTCCGAAGAAAGCCTGTAACACAAAACAAGAACTCACAGTTAGTTTTCTTAGTGCCCAGCTGCACCTCACCTCCAAAACTTTCAACCTGATTAAACTGTGAAGAAGAGTTTATATGAAACAAAATCAGTGTTTCAGTATCAGGGGTAACATTTTAAGATTCCTTGAGTTACCTAAAACTATGTGCCTGTAATCCCTGCAATTCAAGTTTCATGAGGGCAAATTACCTCAGAACCAAAATGAACTGAGGACCTTTGCTATCAACTGTGGGCATCCCTCAAACTGCTCTTCTGAACCTTCGTGGGAGATGTTAACACCTTATGGCCCTGTGGGTTGCTCAGTTGGTTAGAGCATCATCCCGATAGGACAAGGCTGTGAGAGTTCAATTCCCAGTCAAGGCACATACAAGAATCAACCAATAAATTCAACAACAAATCGATGTTCCTCTCTCTATAAAAAACATTTTGAGAATATACCACATAGTAGTCTCCTGTCAGAGTCACAAAATACAGAAGCAAATGTTTTTTTAATCACCTGAGGACATTTTTTCATTGCTTTTAGAGAAGGGAGAAAGGGAAACACTGATGCCAGACAGAAGCATCGTCCCTTGCTTCCAGTATGTGCCTGGACTGGGGGTTGAATCCGCACAATCTAGACATGTGCCCTGCCCAAAAACTAAACCCTGCAAACTTTTGGTTTGCGGGAAGATGCTGCATTAACTGAGCCATATCTGCTAAAGCAGAAGCAATGTTTCTTTACTGCTAAGTTTATTTCCACTCCTCCTAAAATAGTGACAGAATAGTTTAGAAAACATTTACGTAAAAATAGCCTCACGATGCTGCTAAGACAGCTTCAAAAAAATGCCACTCTTCCCCTCTGGAGAGCTCACCTGGATGGACCTTTCCCTTCCCTCTTATCCTCCCAGGAGCATTATACCTTTGCCTTTCTCTCCCCTAAGCTCCAAGGGCCCTTCTTCTTTTGCTTCTGTAGCTTGTTTCCTAAACCTGCGCAGCCCAGCTGGCTCCCTTCTACTACCTCTGTAACTTGCTAAATAAACTCATAATTTGGTGGGGGGGGTGGGGAAGAAGGAAAGGAGGATCTTTATTCTAGAACAGTCTATTACTAGCTAACTATTAAGAGATAATGATGCTTTTAAATGCTAAGAGATGTCAGAGAGGGAGGAGCAAGTATAGTAAGTATGAGAAGTATACTTAATCTATAGTTTTTAGGTCTAGTTTTCAGGATTTAAAAGTGAAAGCCAAAATAATGTGTTAGTAACTCCCTAACTCATTCTATTCTAGAAGCTTCCAAATCTGTGGTATTAAGACAAATTCTCCATCCAACACATACCTAGCTACCAGGTCTTTGATTCAAATACATCATTTGAATTGAAGCCCTAGAATCCAATTTTGGGCTTTGAAGAAAAAGTATGTAGGCCTTTGGCATCACTGATAATAGGTAGCCGGCAAGACAGTTTACATTACATTGTCATGTATTAGTAAACGGAACTAATATATTACAACTAAAGTTTCACTTCAAAAATTTGTTTCAAAAAGACTTTCAAATGTCAGGCATAACCTATTTGTGGTCTCTAGTCAAGGGGGCATGAACACTTCCCCATCCTTTCTCTCTTCTACAACACTGAATGACAAACGCTGGCCAGTAGGGGGAAGGAAAACAATGGCCAATAAAATAGATGGGTCTTTCAACTACTAACTAATTTTATGTCAGAAATGGTATTTCCACATCAGCATAAAGAAGAATATTTTGTTCTTAAAAGAGGGTAGATTCGGGCCAGCAACAAAATGGGATAATCTAGAGTAATGTAAACAGGCCCTGAATAAGAGTTTAAGGAGGAACTGAAAGTTCAAAAGATCTTTTGATGGCTGGGAACAGTTTAGATCTAGGACCTAAAAAAAAATTAAGTTCATGCAAGAAGGTGGTAGCACTTCAGTACCAAAGAGATCTTAGAAAGAACTGTCCAGAATTTATGCACACAGTCTTAGCAGGGATTGAAAGAAGGGGGCAAGTATAAAGGGGACAAAGAAAACCCAACCGCAAGTACTATGTTGTAGACTCTTGGTGATGATAGTCCCTTACACGTCTGGATTCCTTCCCAGCCATCCTCCTTTAGGGAGAACTCATTAGGTAAAGAAGCTTTCTAATCAAGAACTATACAAAATCATAAAGTCTCTGGGGAAGATGGTATCAGCAAGACTAGTAAGTCCAAACTACAAAAACATCTCACCTAAGGCAGAACTGGACTACATGAGAAAGGAGCAGCTAGCAAGTAAACAAGAAAAGTCCTATCTAGACAATGAACTGAAGTTTGCCCCTCTAGTCCTCCACGTGGAGTTGCAACATGTAAAAATACCTCATAGGCCCATTCTGGGTTTGAGGGGCAACAATACCATGATAATAAATATATAATGCAATACTCACGAGCAATTAGTTTTTCTTAACGCTATAAACCAAAAGGAATTTAGAAAAAAGTTATCAGGAAAAAAACCTTCGCAGCATTTCTCTAAGTGTTGCTTGGGAAGGGCATCATACTTTCATTATACTGGCAGTATGTATTCAGGTTGACCAGGATACTACCCGATGCCCTTTACTATTATACTTACAGTATTTCTACCCTCTTATGAAGAAGGAACTGAGGTTTTAGAATAAGAAAAGTAAGTCTTCAGGGATATTAAGTACACTTTGAGTTTTAAGTCCTCACTAGTCATCCATGTGATTTGCAAGTGTGAATTTTCCTAGGGCCTCATTTTTTTGTTAAATAGAATAAATGAGTAATCCATGAGTTATAGTTGATATTAATGGTCCCTTCCAAATCTTAAGATTGTAATTTTCTACTCATGGTAAATAGAGTGCTAGTGGGGAGACAGAAGGGTAAACAAGAAATGAAAGAATAAAGGAGCTTAGTCTAGTAAATCAGGGTCAATTTAGGATGACCAGGACATAATCCCGTCAACTTTTGGATGATGTCACACACAGGTTGGTTGTTCAAGGTTTACCCAATGTGATAAGGAAGTGGGAGTAATGCCAGTTCAGGGGAATACAGACAAGCTGGCAAACTTTTGAGACTTTTCCCAAATTGCTTCCCTATTCTGGGTAAAGAAATAATCTCTTTGTATTTATGACCTATAAAAGTTCCTCAGAGTAACCACTCACCAGAGGAAACAAGAAGCCGGAGATGGACACCCCAGTTACTTGCTGCCATTGGCAAGGTAAGGGATGTGGAAAGTCAGAGAAACTATTGTTCACTGAAGAAGGTTCTTGCCAATTATGGAAGACCCTCAGGATTTAATCCTGTGGCAGGCCCATCATTCTTTGTGGGGAATGACAAAGGACTAAAAATTAACCAGGGATACAAAGAGGTCCAGTCAGTTTTATAGACTCCCTAGTTAAGAAGCTACGGGTCACAAGTTCCCACCCCTTTACCCTTCACAGCACACAGTCAACTAAGGTTCTTACTGTGGCAACTTTATTACATCTAGAAACACAAATCTGGCCAAGACGACCAGCTGATAACTTAACCATTAAATAACTTTTTAAAAAATAAAGGTTAACGGAGAGGCTTTTATTCATTAACACAGAGCCTAACACATTGTTATATTGCAAGGCAGAATAAAGCTACAAAAAAGTAACAGAGTGAGAAAAAGCAAGAATTGTGGCTCCAGATAAAGTATTCAACAAGTCAGACTCTGAAAACAGGCACTGAGCTGAAATGGCCAAAACCTAAACAACGGTACCATTGCCCCCACCCCCACCCTACTATCCCCCCAATAGTAAAAAGGAAATGTCACAAGCTCACAATTGTTTGTTTGGTTCTCACCAATGTTAACAAAAAACCAAAATGAACCAAGAATTACTTGAGGGAATGCCTCAAAATATGCAATCAGTAGGGGGAGAATCTCTGTTTCTCGCCTTTCAGTTTGTTAGTTACACATGGCACGGCAGAGGTGGTGGTGGTGGTGGTAGCTGAAGCCCCGGAACCCTTAGCAGCAGACACAACATTTAGAGCCAGGAGAGGGATGGGTTTCATGCCAAGCAGACTGGAGACACAAGGGGCGGTCGGAAGAGGGTTGGGGAGGCTGGAGGGTGCGTCGGAGGTCCCCGCTGTGGCGAGCGAGGGGGTGGTGGTGGAGGAGGAAGAAGAAGAAGAAGGGGTGGAGGGTTGAGAGAGGTTGATGCTGAGGTGATCAGGGATCGTGACGGAGGCTGCCTGGGAGGAGGGTTTAGCGTTTTCTAAACTGTAACAGAGGAAAAAAGGAACAAAAAAAAACCGGGTGGGTGGAAGGGAAGACCACAAAAGGGAAAAAAAGTACAGGACAAAAACTGCTTCAGTTATCAGTTAAGTGCCTCTGATTGTCAATTAGGAAGACCTAATACCAACTTGTGACAAACTGTTTCTTTTTAGTTTTTATATCCCACCCTCTAAAAATGTATACTTGCCAAATTTCATTCCACAGTGCTATTTAAAACTGCTACAGTGAAGAAAAAGCTGACAGATTGAAAAAAGAAACACAGCACACACTTCCATGTACAACACACTGATCCAACCCACAAGTCAAGGACAGGTTTCAACAGGAAATGAAAGCAGTCATTCTCCAAACAAGGAACAAATGTTTCACCTACCAATCACTTGTGAAGTTTTGGGATATTAACCCACAGAATTAAAAAAAAAATTTTCTGTAATATAGAAGTTTTCTTCCATCTCCACAGCAATCTAATCAATATACTAGGATGAACAGGGAAAAGAGACCAAAGTAGGTCACTGACTAATCTCAAACTTCAAAGAATGTAACATTTTCAAAGAAAAATCCCGAGGACATAAGTGTAGATAAGAACTAGGGAAGCTTCATTTCTGGCGAGGAAAAAAGTTCTTTGTTTTATGACTGACCATATTTGTAACACAATCCTTACAGTAGAAACTCAAGCACTGTCAAAAACTTTATGTTCAGTCAAGTAGAAAAATTGCATCTACTCCTGAAATAAGCTCCGGATAATAGCAATAACCTGCAGGTACCTGCTGAGGTCTGTGTGGACAACCCCCCTACGAGATGAACTCTCCTCAAAGGTAAACAGGCTCCTCTTAAGACTCCATTTTGTTTACATAATTCCAGGACAACAGCAATCCATAAAGGAGGGGATAAAAAAAAAAGGAACTCGGGTTGCCAAAAATCAGGGCAGAGATGCTTATGACCCATTACTGAAAGCACAGAAATCTTTCTTGCCTAGTATCAGTAATAAAACCAGTTTGTATTTTGCATTCAAACTGGGCCAAGATGAGAAAGCAAGAAGTAAATGCTGGTGTTAAATGAGGCTTCAAGAAGTTTCAACCCAAATCCATAGCCTGGACAGTTTCATTCAACAGGATGATCATGAAGAGTGACTAAATTAAAAAACAATGGTGGAGAGTTCTGCTTCCTTACAATGTAGCCACTGACTTCATATGAGGGTGGGGAACGGAAAGGAGTCAGGCAAGCAGGTTACATTTAAACACCATCTGACAATATTCTAGGCAAGCCTATCCAAGATGATGATTTCCAGCTTCTAAGAACATGACTCCTGACACTTAACATCGACCCTCAACTAGTAACAAGAGGACCAAACCTTTGTAAACAGCTTCTGTGAAAAAGTTTTTTTACCCTCAACATGAAGAATTTGATGTGCTTGTAGCTGAAGAAGAAAAGAGATTCAAACATAGAATGATGTTTTCTACACAAAGAGTAGTGAACACCCAGAGGCATAAAAAGACTCCGGGGGGGAAAAAACAGAATCACTACTAGGGAACTGATAAATTAGCAAAGGGATAAAAGACCATGTAATAAATACATGGTCAGTATAAGCATGACAACAAGAACTCTTACTTGTGAATTCCTTTTCCTTACACTAGGATTCAGAAACTCAACAGAGACCAAATAGTTATAGTGGTAAATAACTAGAGAAAGGCTACATGAAAAGGATAGCTAAGCTCCTTGGGAAATGGGCTAATACTGGTTTAAAATGTTAGTAAGCAATGAGAATGTGGCTTAAGCATTTATGCTTAAAAAGCAAGAAATATTTTTAAAATGCCTTGTAGGATGCCCATTGGACTGTGATTAGTCCTGCTACGATCACGCGTTTAGTAACAACAGTAACCTCACGAAGTCATTAGATACAACGAGGGGAAAAAGGAAAACACACTGACATTTCTGAAATATTAAAAACCTGTGCCTCCCCCTTGCCACAAGCTCTGAACAATGAAACACATTTGCAATTTGAGAACAGTGGACATTTTCAGAATGATAATGGCTGCCTCCAAGAAACTGCTTTACTGTCACACTACTTCCTTATCCTTATTTCAATTAAAGGGTACACTGGAGCCTAAACCCAATCACTGAGAGAAATACTAATCTATGTGACAGACATGTACAGCAAGAGACCCACATTTGGTTCTCAGTATGGGTGCTCTAATCAGAGCATCTGACCTAGTACTGAAGACAAGCTCCCCAACCTTTGCACTCCTAAAATTATCAAAGATCAAATTCAAGCATTCTATTTCCCCTTCTCCAAGCCCATGCAAACCAACTACAACCTGGTTACTTTTTCTTCTAAGAATGGATGAAAACAGAACTAGACTTAAACTGCCCCCCCATCTCCACCTAACCCCCTACCCACACCCATTACCCAAATAATCCCACATTTAATAATGCATTTTAGCATTCCCCAACACACACATTAGTTGTGTGTTGACATCAGTAAGGCAAAAAAAGGTAGGGAACCCTTACCTGACATTGATTAGATACTGAGCCAGGCTAATGCTGGCAGCAGATCCAGTGATGGTAACCTGCCTATCAGTAGATCCTTCCACTGGGTTCGCAATTTTGATCTGCGCCCCAGACATCTGACGGATCTCATTGATTTTGGCGCCCTGACGCCCGATTATGCAGCCAATCAACTTCAGGAAGAAAAAGAAGAATGCATAACAAATTAATAACAGCATGACTAGGTCTAAGAATAGGTCCACCCCTCCAGCCCTCTATAGTTTGGGTCAATGAACAAGGCAATGGAAACTACTATCTGCATCCTATACACTCTACTCATATACTCCTGACTGAGTTATAGATTGCTCTCAACTCTTAGCTATTCTTTTGTCTGACCACACTACAGATCAGAGGCAACTGAGCTGACTCTTAGGAACATCAGTTCATTTTCTTGAGAGTAAACCCAAAGACAGAGCCAAAATGATAACAAACCTAATTCATCATAACAAACCTAGGAATAAAGGTAAATGGGGAGCAACAAATATGCCTAAAACTCATCCTGCCATGATCACTTTACTGTACTGACAAGAACTCTAGTTTATAATGCTTTGTACCTTGAGAAAAAGTTAAAAATTGGTCTATATTCATTCTGTCCAGTACTGTACATACTAATAAGAAGTGATCACTGAACATACCAAGTGTGGTATGACTAATGAAAAATTGGATTAATTTAAATAGCTGCATGTACTGTGTACCACGTTGAACGGCACACATACAACATCCAAAGACCACTGCATTGCTTTAAGCATAAGGCTTCAGATTCTGTAAGAAACCAATGGAAATGGGAATTTCTACTTGATATGAAAAGGTTCTTTGTGCCTCATAAACACTCAATAGTTTTACCACTTGTCTCCACTGAATTTTATTCAGCTTAGGTACTTTAAAAATTTTAATTTGACATCTAAATCCTCCATTTTCTCTCCTGAGACCTTAAACTGCTAAGATGTGTATTCTTTAAAACCAATTCTCATAATTTCATCCAATGACACCCAACTAACTATACTTACATCATTTGGAATGGTGAGTTCATGAGAAGTAGTCTGAGCAGATGCATCCAAACCTGCTAAAAGACAGAAGAGAGCAAGGAAGTTCAATGCACAGCCTACAAATCCCAACTGAGCCGCACATTAATCTAACAGAAGAAAACAAACTGGAAACCCAGCACTGGCTGTTGGGATTCATCACTAACTTGAAAGCCTCCAAGGAGTCAAGAGGGGTAGAGGGGTGGAGAAATAATGCTGGAAAGGTTCCTTGTACACTCAGAAGAGCTGATTTCATGCCATTTCCTGCAAAGCCCAGCCTATTAATGTGTAAGGGGATGGAAGCAAGGGAGAAGGGTGTGTGATATGCTTAAACAGGACCAAAATCTAACCAAGTCCTTCTGCACTTCTCTCCTTTTCTGCTTAAAATTTCCAGCTGTTGTATTCCAATTTTATCTCACCTGATGCTCACTAGCACCAGTGCCAATATCATGCCTGTTATTGGGTACCATGGACTCTTGGCACACATGCAGTTGCTTTAAATACACCTGTATCATATTAACAGTACCCAGCCCCCCCCTTACCTCCCCCACACCACACACTATCCTAACCTACACTTGAAGGTTAAAGAGAATGAAATGGCAGTCAGGTGAGGAAAGTTCATTTCTCCAGATTTATTCCCTGTCTTTTGCTCAATTCCCTGTCTTTTGCTCAACTGCTCATTAATTTGTTCTGGTTTTTATTGTTTTCCAAACAAAAAGAAAAAAAAATCTGAATAGCAAACACCCACACCCATCAAAATGGCACCTGGACTGGAACAGGGCAGCTAGCTAACTCTTCTCAAGGCTAGTCCTGCTCTCAGCTGTGGCTGTTAAACTCAACATGTTTAGAAAGGGATTGGCCAGATCCACCAAGGTACCCTCAGGGGCACCAGGCCCAACCTTTTGCTCTCTCAGCTTATTTCTGCCATGTGCATGTTGCTGGTATGTCATGGGCAGTGAAACAAGACTCCCACCAGTTTATTAATATAACAGTAGAATACTACAGATTTTTTTTTAATCATTACCCCAATAGCCTTTCACCTCTGGAGAGCTGGATTCAATGCCTGTTAAGATACAAGTGAAAATGAGTTTGGTGGTCTCATCCTAACCCTATCGGACAAGTTATTCCTTATACAGAAAAAAAAAAAAAAAAAAAGAAAGAAAAGAAAAAAAAGCCCAAAACAAAAACAAAAACACTACAATTTGGCATAAATGGACTGTCTCTACCCAGGTCTGTGTGAACTGGTGGAGAGAAAGGGGGTGCCAATCAGATCAAAGGGGCAGCAGTGAGGATAGAAGAAATGTCAGCCTACCCTTTGCCTGATAAGCATCCCCAGACCTCAACCCAAACCTTCCAGGGCCCCCTTTTTATTATTTTCTTAAAAGAATAACTCACCCCAAATGAAAACCAAGTTAAACACATTACCTCCTTTGGTTTAGCCACAGAAGATAGGCAAGTTTAAACCAGCAGGATGCTGGGTACGAAGTTTGTCTTAAACAGGTGTCAAACTGAGACCTTGGGGCTGGCCTCTGTCTCGCACTATACCTTACAGAAATAAACACTGAGGTATCCATACCACTGAATCCGGTGTTTCCATGCGTCATGGGAAAATGAGACTGTTGCATTGCCAACTGGTGCAGCTTGGTCAACTGCAGGGAGTAAACAGGAGAGGCTGGGCATTAGAAGAGTAACAGAGCCAGGGCTCAAGCACATTCAAATTCGAAAAAGCAGAATTCCTTATCCTCGAAGTTCACTCTACTACTCAAAACTACAACAGAGGGTAAGAATGGGGCACCTACCACAATTCTGGGAATGGGCAGATTATGAAGGGTTAGAAGGGGAATTAGTACAAGAGAATGAATGCATTCTGGGTGTGTGTAAAGCAGCACTGCCAGCCCAAGAACCACCCCCTCGTGGGCTATTTAATGAAGGTGTTTGCAGCCATTACAAAAGTTGCCTCAGGGACAAGCACAGACAGGCTATGTACACAAACTGTGCAGTGGTGCTAGGGAAAACACACCATGCAGGGTTCTGTCAGAATTGGGAGAAGGGAAGGAGATGAGGGGGCAAGGAGACTGCAAGAAGGACAGAGATTAGGATGAAAGCAAACTGGGTTTTAACCCCACCCCCCTACTAGTTTCTACAGCTATTTTTCATCTATATACACTGTCTTGGCTGTTGTAAAATAATCCCTCTTCAAGTATACTTCCCCTCCTGGGGCCTACACCACTAACCAAGAGCCAAAGTCAACTTCCCTCGTCTAATGCTCAGCACCTGAAAGGGTTAGTAAAGATAGAGGAAAAGTGCAAAAAGAAATGCCCTTGTAACAAAGTCTGAACACCAACACCTTTTAAATGAGTTTTTAGTGGCAAGGAAGGTTTTATTGAGTTGAATACCCAAATATTCCTTCCTATCCTTCTGTGTGTAAATAAGCCCTTTTACCACCCCTCCAGATGCTTTTATAATTATCACCTCAAATTGAGGAATACCCAAAGACAAATCCACCTCCCACTACCCGCCCTGGAAAGGACTCGCTACAGAGATGCACAGTCCAATCAATTTAAATTGTGCCCAGAAATAACAAATGACAGAATACCATGGAACATTTCTCTTTTAGATAGAGTAATCTGGAACATGAAGGAAAGCAGAACCTAATAGTTTCCCAGATTATAATTTCCAGGGATTAAATGTCAAAAGACAAACAGGGTACTACTATGCCCAGATTAAAGATTATTTAAGGGCTGAAATGTGGGATTCACCTTGTGATACTGCAATAGTTTAAGACCCAACTCATTTCTGCCTGCATGGAAGAAAGGAGTGATACAATTTTGGATGGGAGAGGGAGCTTTTCAAAACAAGAAGTAAAAACAAAACTTACATCTGGCTGTGGAATGGCATACTGTCCTTGAATGGTATAGGCCTACAAAAGGAGGAAAACAGTTCCTATTAAAAACCAATCACGGACAGCCACCCAGTGGGAAGAAAAAGACAGATTTCAACTAGCCGGGAAGCCAGAGTTGAATTAAAGAATGGGGAGGCCAGGGATTGCAGCAGTAAATGCTATCTCACAAATACAGTCAGACCCAAGTTGGCCTTCTTCAAACCCTAAATATGATGAATTATTCTTGGAAGCCTATGAAGGAGCCACATTCCCTGCAATCAAAGGCAAAATACACATGGGTTTCTTAATGAAAACGTGGGAAGTGGGATTAAGCAATGCCTCACTTGACCAAGCCCCCATCTTTCTCCCTGTGTACAAGATAGCACAGGAGAAAAAGGGTCTCTGCCCTCAACCACCCCAACCCTTCTACCCATCATGGTAATGTAAGTGATTTGTGTTTGCACAAACCTACATGGCATGTTTTGAAACACTTCCCCTTTCCTATCTTATTTGTCTCTACATCTGCCTAAAGACACCTTAAATGCACTGGAAGCTAGCTGAGTCCCTAAGCACTAGGGAGATGACCACAGAACACACACACACAAAAATTCAGTATTCTAAATCCTGCCTTCTCCCACCTCCCCTCCATACAAGGTACTTGCAGCTCCCACTACACCCTCCTCCCCCCACACCATAACCTCCGAAAAGGGAGCTGGGTCTCCAGGGCAATGGGGTGTGGGACAAGGAGGAGCAGGAAAAGCAGGGAAGGAAGGACTGGCTGGCTAAAACGATGTGAGGCTTCTCACATCAGTGGCCAGTACCCCCACAAGTGCACCCAGGTTGGGGTAGGAAGGTGAAAATGGGGGAGGAGTGGGAGACAAGGAAGAGGGATTGAACAAAAAGAAAAAAAAAAGGAGAGTTGGTGTTACCATCTGGTGGGCTACTCGGCCTGTGTGAAATGAGGTGTGGGGGGGGTCAGTCCAGGTCCCCGTGGACAGGTGGTGTCCACAGCACAAAAATCACCAGCGCCACTGGCCCCCCGCGTGTTGGCAGTCTCGGCTGAGGCGGAAGGATTGAGTGAGCCTTGGAGACTGAACATCCCCTCTCACCTCTAGAGGTGGTCCCTCCAGGTCAGGGTTGAGGCACATGGACGGGGTGGTGTGGGGAAAGCTCGCACTGTCGCTGCCTGTGCTGTACCTGTCCTGTGGATAAATAGAGGATTTCAGTCTCCAGGGCTGTCAATCCGGCACCTTGTCACCAGCATGAAATTCACACAAAAAAAGTTGTTTAATTTTTCTTTTCCTTTAAAAAGTAGCTCACAACACAATTTGAAACGAGCTGCAATCAGTCAATCAAAAAAAAAAGTTACCTAGAGGCAGATTTCATACTGCACAGTTGGGCTATTTTCAGTAAGAATAAAGGGGTAGGGCAACAGAGCTGATACCAGCTCCTGGTCAGTGTGGGATTAAATTGAACCCCTATAGAGCCCACTTTCTCACAAAGGAACAAAAGACACAGGTCCCCCTGTGGACATTGCATGAACTGGTCCATTTAAAAAGGCCCATGTGAATAATCCATGACAGGGCCACTCATGGAAGAAGCTGCAAGCTTTTAGAGGGTGGTCAACTAAATAAAGAGGAGGGAGGGGAGGGAGGGAGGGAGGGGAGGGAAGGGAGGGAAGCAAAGAGGTAAGAAGGGGGTGGTAGGGGGAGGAAAGGGAAATGAAGAATTATAAATAGAAAGGATTGTTGTCGCCCATCCCAGGACTGTTTATAATCCCAATGGGGAGCAGAAGAATCCAGAAGAGCAGGAACCTGGAGTTCCTGGGGAGAAGGAAAAAAACTCCTAAAGCTAAGCCTTGCTACACTGACTCTGGCTGGGCCTTTTCTTATCCTGCCCCTAAACCAGACTGACTGAAAGTCCTTTGATCAAACCAGTTTGTACAAGGCTAACATTAAAAGAAAGGTACTAAACTGTTTCAGTTAACACTATGACATGATTAAGTTCTTGTGAAAACTCCCCGAACTACATGACAAACTAAGTTCCCCAAAACTTGTTCAGTTTTATGCCAACTCAACACAATGTGAATGAGACAGACTTCAAGTTTATGCTTTCCCAGTTCAAATACAAGATGGGACAAAAAAACCCGTGCTTATACACAGGGCAGCCCTATGTGGAAAAGGCAATTTTGAGTAATGCACGAATTTAGGCAGCTACCAAGATAAAAGTCACTATTCCAACCTGAACTCCAGTACTTAAAAAACTGACCTACCTACTCCTCAAATAATAACCAACAAAGCATAAAAACTACCATGGTGATCAGTGCTCGTCATAAAAATCTAACTTCATAATAAACCATGTGCCAAGGATCAAGAGTTTAGGTGGATGAAGGAGTACAGAGCCCAAGGGGGTGGCACTTTGGTGTTCCTACTCAGACACCAAAGGTCAGAGCACCACTGCTCAACATGCTCTCCCCTTCTGTTCTTGCACACTGAACCCTTACCCCAGCTGATTTGTTATGCCATGTGGGTTCAAACCAGTGTTTATGAGGTTAAGAGCCTGGGGGACAACACACTGGAGTTTGGGAGTGAAGGGTAGGAGTAGGGGAGGTGAGGTGAGGTGAGGGGAAGGGAAGTTTGTAGGACACTCAAGTTCTGGAACCCCAATTCTGAGACCACTATCCAGAACTGCCTTCAGAGGTCTAACTCTTTGCTACCTTTATTCAGACCTCTAAACAATACCCCACACATAAAAATGTATGGATGGGGTAGGGAAAGTAGTAACACCAAGGCAATTAATTTAAAATTTAACCCTTTTTTCTAACCCAACCCACCTTAAATCACGAAGTAAATTACCTCTTCGAGTGCCTACAAAACTCCCATTTGCCTACTAAAAATTAAGTAAGGGCTTAGCATTCATAGCTTTCTCCCATACAAAAAATAAAAAAAAAAACAAAACTAAAAGCAGGTCAAACTATGGCCAGAGTAAAGGTTTCAGCAAGCATGCAGTGGCCTGATGTGCTGCTGGCAAAGTTGACATTTCAAATATAATCCTTGTTCATATCTAGCCCAGCAATAAGAATTTTCTTACCTGACCACCTGCAAAGATGACCGGAGAACTGGACGGCTTGGGCCGGTACGGGATGGTCACGCCCTTCGGGGGGGACTGGGAGAGAGTCAGAGGGGAAAAAAACAAAAAGAGATAAGGTTTCAAAGCTGCTTCAGCTGTGTGGCTTAAGCTCACACAGGTTAGTTAAAGACTGCATTTCCATTCCCCCACCTACCAATGTTGTCTCTGGCTATACCTCATCTGAAATCATCTGTAGTTACTTGCCTTTAATGTAAGTAATAAGATGATCCATGGACTACACAGCACACACTAATTCTCATCAAGGTAAATTCCCCTATAATAATTTAGGCATTATTTCCATGTTTTCAAATAAGTCTAATGAACATGAAAAACTTCTGTGTTCATATATGTTCATTTTAGTTGGTGACTTTTAGATCTTAATTTTGGCCTGAATAGGAAATTAAGCCAAAATATGAAATACAGCACACAAATGTTAACTCACATCTAGGATAATACAGACACTGTCCATAAACAGTTCAAAGGCTCCATCAGTATTTTTCTGAACTCTATCTGGAAATTCTATTCTCCTGTGTCACCAATATGGAACCAATTCTGTATGACAACTCTAAAAAGTTTTAATGTCCCTTAATTTTGCATTTCTTGCTTTAATTAAATGGCACATACCAGGACCTCGTAAATCATTCATAAACACCATTATGGATACACTTTTTCTCTACATAACCACCACTTTGAATATAATCCTGCCACAAAACACAGAATTTTAAAAAAAACATGTCAAAGTGGAACACAGCCAAATTTTTGTAAATTTAAAAGGCAACTTAACTTAGCTTCTCAGGAACCCAGATACATCTTTTGTCCAGTAGATAAACTTCCCCTACCAATCCCACTAGAATTGCTACAACCTGAAAGATCACTGCTGCTTAGCAGTTTCTATTCTTGCTCACTATAAGAAAAGCCAAAGCTGGGGGAAGAACATGAACTCAGGGAACCTCTTCCCACCCCCACTGGAGACTTCTAACAGCTTCACCTAATTCTAGTCTTACTAAATATAGATTAGTCTGTCTCCCCTAGAATCACCCTCCCCCCATTCTCAGCATGAGCCTGAGGGCTTACCTCCAACATGACCACACAGATCTGTTTCACACACTCAATGATGGATTGCGGAATGCCAGCAATAGTGATGGCCCGCTCGGTTGAGTTGGGGAGCATATCCCCTGCCACTTGGACCTGAGCCCCTGTACTCTGGAGTAAAAAGAAAGTTAAAATCAGAGAAAAACAGCTCATACTTACTCTTCCAATTTCTCCCAGTAGCAACTTCATAGAGCCCTAAAGCTCAGCAGACTCATCCCACCTCCTATCTTACCCCTTTTAACTTCCCTTTCCACTCTTCCCTTATTCCAGACAGGACTATTTAATGACAGTTATAAATAAATTAGCCTCTGAAAGCCAAGAATAAGCCTGAATAAGAGCCTAAATTTAACCTGCTCTCAAGAAAAAAGTCCTTCTAGACTGTTTCCTGAGCTAATGTTAACTGTGGCCCAAGCAAAATCCCCACAAATGTCACCCACCTTTCATTCTAATTTATTGAATACTTAAATTAAACTCATTCTATGTTCCAGGTACCATTCTAGGTGCTAGGAATACATCAATGAATAAAATCAAACCCCTATTCTCATGGTCTGTACAACATGCTCCTCAAAACTTCAACTCATTTTCCTTTAGGAGTTAAATTTCACTCTAATATTCAATTCAGTAACTTCTAGGTAAGTTAAAAGCTTCCACAATTCAACGTAACTTCCATAACTTAAAGGAGAGCAAGATTACCTTTACATCCCAATATACCTTCCTGTTTTCCCTCTAATATTTAGGAATTTGCCCAAAGAAGAAAATTGCTACTATTATGTATTAAATCGTAAACTCTTTATACATGAAAAAGAATTATGCAGCCTCAGGAAAAACTGGAAATTCTGGTTAACTTTTTCGGTCTTAGGTTTTTAATTTTTTTAAATATTTTATTTATTTATTTTTAGAGAGAGGGGAAGAACGAAAGGGAGAGAAACATCAGTGTGTGGTTGCCTCTTGCACGCCCAACCCTAGGGATCTGGCCCACAAACCAGGCATATGCCCTGACTGGGAATCAAATAGTGACCCTTTGGTTCAGCACTCAACCCACTTAGCCACACTAGCCAGGGCTGATTCGCTGTTCTTTAAATATATGAACTGTATGTATGTATGAATGAATAAATAAATAAGTAAAACTGTACAGGGCTGATTCATTGTTCTTTAAATGTATGAACTGTATAAATAAATAATATAGATAGGTAAATAAATAAATGAACTGTACAATATTTTTCATCCCAGTATAAACAAATTGTATTCTAGGACTGTTACTTTAATAAAAATCTTCACCTCAACAAATGCTAACTTTTCCAAGATAAGAGAAGCAGCCATATGCAGAATACTTATCTTTTCAAAAGAGAGCACAAAAGTCACCAACCTCTCGTATTTCCTTGATCTTGCAACCACCTTTCCCAATGAGAGAGCCACACTGACTAGCAGGGACCACCAGCCTCAGGGTGACTGGAGGTCTACTGGCAGCTGTGCTATTGGTCATAGAGCTGCTGATGTCCTACAAAAAGAAGCTAGTCAGAATGCCAGAATATAGCAAGTTTTAAGCAGACCCCTGGGAACCCGGAACTACCTTAACAGAACCACTTTTCTTAGTAAGAAACATACTGTATGTATCATTATCGCTATCAACAAACACCCAAAAATATCCCCCTCAAAACAGGTATTTCTGAAAAGATAGTAACACCCACAAACTTCCTCAGAATTCACCCTATATATGGTTTATTCACCCTGGGGAAGGCATTCTTGGTAGGGAGAAAAACAATTACTAGTTTTGTAAATTATGAGTTGACTGAAGAAAAGCAAGACCGAAATTAAATAAAATATTAAAAGATGAAATAATGAAACCCTAAATTCAAATAACCATTACTTCCTCTTGGAAATCTAGAAAGATTAAGTAGTACGCTTCTATATATCACTGTTTTAATTTCTTGGAAATACCAGCATTGTAGAAAAAATGAAATTGAGGCTGAGTACTGTCCCCAAACATCTAAAAAGCTGTGGATTTGAAATTTAAAAAAAAAAAAAAAAAAAAAAAAACTATATTGGATCCATAAGCCATAATCTTTGCTGTTACAATATACTCCATCCAAAAAATCATGGTTTTCACCTAGTTAAATTTAGCCTTCTGAAAGTTAACTAATTTAAATATCATTGCTCAGCTGAATGTCTATATAGTAACTAGACCTGGGAACTGCTTAAATGTAAATCTTAAAGTCAAGGACATGTTTCTCATTTGGTTCTAGTGTGAACAGTACATTTTCTGAATGTTTTTTAAGCCCTAAATTCTGGTTTAGCAGGGTCTTGCAGGTCAAGAGGTAACATTTCTGATCTTGGCAAGAATAGCATTTCAGCAACCAATTATCCAAGGACCAATCAAGCAGCAGCCAGAAGCTCTCCTCTGCCTGTAGTATCAATTAGTGATTAGCAATATTACTGCAGAAGGGAGAAGCTGAAAATTGAAGAGAAGACTAGGACAATTCAGCACCTGAAGGTTGAGGTGGCTTGGTGAACAAAAAAACCCCTTCTGCCAAAAAGCCTGAAATCAGCATTTCCCTTTAGATACATAACCTATAAATCATATTCCCTCCTTCCAAGTATAGCTCAAACACAAAATTATCAGGCTGATTTTTTAAAAAATTAACTGTTGGAAGGCATCTGTGTTTCTGAGGAATATTAATGTTCAGCAGGGACCCTAACAAAATGACATTTTGTTCACTCGACTGTGAGTTAGGGACATCAAGTTTACTAATGCAGTGGTGGCATACCTCTAAAACTGTTTTTACAGTGAGTCCCTGGGCAGTAGTCAAACTATTTAATACTGAAGTTGACTTATTTTTAAACTACAATGATCAGATTTTGAGAAGGCTGAAGGGAAGCAAAGAACCCATCTACAAATTTTTTATAATCCATTCTGCCCTTGGATTAATTTATTTTATTGTTTTTCCGTTACAATTGTCTACATTTTGTCCTTGAATTTACAGAAACCTTTGAAAATCACTAAGCTATCTAGAAGCAATTAAAAATGGAGAATGAGGGAGGACAGATAACAACAAACCTCTTCCAGTTTGTCAATGATCATAGCAAAGGCTTTGAAGATGGCATTAGTGGGTCCAGCCAAAGTGATAATTCTCTCAGGACAATTCCCTTCTGAGATGTTGATACGTGCACCACTCTGGATAAGAAACAGGACCAAGAGATTAAACAGACTGAAGACCTGAGCATATATAGACTAAACAAACCTTCCTAAATAAGATGGTCATGGAGCTGCCTATATACATGACCCTGTTACAAGGCAATATCAGCATCATTTCAAATATCGTTCCAGTTTGTCTTCAAAGAAACTACAGAAGTTGCCCTATGTCTTGAATAAACTGAGACTTGCCAGAACTACATTTCCCAGCATACTATTTGTAATTACAAATAACCAAGCCGGAAAAATACTACCATCTTCTCTTGAGACCTTCCCTTCTAATCTCTCCTTAAACAGAGTATTTGCTTATGTTTTTAACTTCCCAAGCTAACAGTCCCCAAAATACCCCCACATAACTCACCTCCTCGCGCATCTTCTTAACTGATTCTCCTTTCTGGAAGAGGAAAAGTCAAGAGTGAATTCAAACTGCTATTCAACTCACACTGACTAAATAGTAATTAGAGTTGAAGTGAAACTGTCTTACCTTTCCGATGATACTGCCAACTTCCTGTGGAGAAAACTAGTGTCAAATAAGAAGGAACTGAAGGAACTCGAAGTGTTCATTATCATAAAAAAGAATTTTTTACCATGAAAGTAATGGAAAGAAACTAAGAATCACTGGGAAGGGAAGTGGGCGGGAATATTCTTTTCACTCAAAATGTATGTGATGGTCTCAAAGAATTTTAAGAAGTGATTAAACTTTTACCTTCTTTTTCAATATAAATTATTTTTAACACATCAAACATATCAACCCCCCCGAAATTTTCTAAAATTGTTTGAACAGAGGAAATCTACTATCTCAAGACATAGCAACCTTTATGAGAAAAATCATATCGTCCAGCTATGACACAGTCTTTGGCTCTAGCTTCTAGTTAAGCTTTTCCTGCTCAGTGGAGCTTCCCAGTGAAGTCTGTCCATTTCACCATTACACTCAGATCTACACTGCTTGAGAAGAGTGTTAAAGCCAGACACCCTACAGTGCTAATCTGATGAGCTCCAAGATACTGCCCTCTCTTCCTGGCCCCTCCCCTAGCAGTTACTATGACCCAATTTCCCAAGCTGGTTATGCATACCTTTCCATGCATAAGTAGCCGGATAGTGAGTGTGACGTTTAATCCACCTTCAATCACACCGGTGTCCATGTTGAGCAGTGTTCTAGGGAGCAGGACTTTGAGTGGTCAAATCTTTGGTCACTGGTGGGGGGTGGGGGGTGGGGGAGGGTGAAAGCCAAAAACTGAAATGCAAACATGACCAAAATGAGAAAAAGAAAATAGAAGAAAAATATTTCCCTGCCATTTTCACCATTATTAATGTTTTGTAACTGACTCTTCCTTAAGTTACAGCAATCAGTTGGCTGTATACATCCAGCACAACTGCATTAACAGCTCAGGTTCCGTTAAGGGTATGGAAGGAGACTTTCCAGGCTCTCATTAATTGTCAGGTTTCTGCTGACTCTCAGGATGAGGAAGATTCCTTCAATTGGCAATGGTTCTAAGGGGAACTGCTGAACATGCATTAGTTGTCCTTCAGCAGAATTAAGTTTCAACGGGATACAGAAACACCTGGAAACCATGAGGACAAACCTCAAACCAACCAACTACAAAGAGGGCAAATGACCTTCTGCTTCTCTGCTAGGGAGCAGCTCAGGCTGAAAGCTAAAGAGGACATGTATGTAAATTTTCTTACTGGTGGTAATTCCTAGGTAAAAAAAATTGAGATGTAGCTATCATTAGTTTAAATGTCAATAAATGACACCAAAGAATTTTTGAAGGATTTAAATCAACAACCTCAGTAAAAAACTATTATTTGAAATGCCCTCCATGTAGGCTTGGTGTTCCATATTCCCCTCAAGGAAATGACTCAATACATTTAAGTACAGCCTTCTCCCAACCCAAGTTGATAAATCACTCAGATTTTTAAATTTTTCCTTGCTCCTGGGTATTAACCTTTGCTACCTCTAAGTCTTTATTCAAGTCTCTCAAATACTTTTCCAAAGAAAATAAAATAAAACTGGTATTGCTAAAAATTTATTGTGTAGTTGTTTTAAGAAACAACAGTAACACCAGCCTTTCCTATCGAGGAGGCCCTTTCCCCGCCAATCCTCAATTTCTTAACATTTGTTTTAGAACATTATGTGAAGAGAATGTTTTTTTATGTGTATCTTTGCTTATAATACTGCCTTAAAACTTAACAATGGCATCTTAAAAATAGGCTCTTTCCAAACTTGTTCAATTTCTCTAGTAAAATTTCAAGGATCCCTCCCTTCAAAACTCAATGATGGCTCTCTTACAGCTAGTTTTCCCTTCACACAACTAGCCATCGTTCTAACTTTGCTCTAACAGAAAGCCTTTACCCTACATATTTAAAAGCATTTAAGTGGCTTCCAGACCATTCTGTATAAGGCAAGCTGCCTCATGGGTATCTTAAGAGTGTGATTATTTAAAAGATGGGTTTTGCAGCCCCAAAACACCCCTCCCCCCATTTTCATAATAATTAATTGCTGGCAAAATTCCAGAATTCAAAACTTTTCAATCATGGGAAAATAAAAGTGCTGGCGGGGATAGAAAGAGATGGGACAGAGTTAAGTCTGTAAGAATGACTTTTTTTTAATAATCTATGGTAGCAAAGTAACAGTTTAATTACTTATTCAAATGTAATAACAAGCACTGTACAAATACAGAAAGGGCAAGAAAACTGAAAACCTATCTGAAGCCATTTTTGAGGTAAGGCACAAAGGTGCATTTTAACTCCAAATCAACCAAAAAAAATCTGTCAGATTTCTCTCCTGACTAGGTCAGTATAAGTGTACACAATCCCAGCAATCCAGCTGTTAATCCTGCAGTCCATTACCCCTTCTATAAATAGCTCGATCTGGGTCTATATCGGCAGGCATTTTGTAATTTCAAAATTCGTTACCCCGAAAGAACGTCCTGAATAACTCGGTAACTGGGAGCCCATCTACCCTTTAACTCCGCAGGCTCCCCCTCCCCATGGTCACCCTAGTGCTTTCCACTTAAAAAAAAATGCTCCCCCGCCCCCCGCAATCCCTCGACTAGAAAAGGAAAAATAATAAAACGGTTCGGTCGGGGGGGGGCGCTGCGACCCAGGGGGAGGGGCGGGACTAGCAGTGTCTCTACGCGTGGCTGCGCCAGCGCCTGACCCCCGCGGGGAGCCGCGCTCACCCGCCAGGCCAGCAAGTCGGCCATTCTCCTCCCCCCACCCTCCTCAACCAACAAATCCACCGCCGCCACCCCAACTGCGCGCGCGCTCTCCTTAACTCCTGCGCAGCGGCCACCGGGAAAAGGCGGGGGGGGAGGGGGGAAGGCCTTGTGCGAGGCCTAGTAGGCCGCAAAGGAGCCAGGGCCTCGCGTGAATGGCCGGGCAGGCAGAAACAGGGGGTAGACGCTCACGCGAGACTACGCGAGGTCGGGGCTCGTGACGAGGACCGAGGCCCGCTAAGAAAGATGGCAAGAGTGAAATTAGCGCTATAGCCGGGGGCGGAGAGAGAATTTTGAAGCTTACCTGCAGGCGCGAGGCGACTGAGGGGAAAAGGGGAGCGGGCGGGAAGGGGAAGGGCGGGAGGCCGGGGGCGGAACAATAGGGGCGGGCGGGAAGGCGAGGGGGCCCCCGCGGGCGGGCGGAGGAGGAAGGGGGGGTGGAGGAGGAGGAGGAGGAGGAAGGGGGAAAGAGACCCCGGGGCGGGTGGAGGGCGGCGGAGGGCGGGCGGGCGGGCGGAGGGCGGGCGGGCGGGAGAGGGCGCAGGCTGCGGCTGCTCCGGCTGCTGCCTCTGCTGGTCTGGGAGGGGGACGGGGCGGAGCGGCCCGCTTTCAACCCCGCGCACCCTCCGACCCCGGAAGCGCTAACCGCCCCGGGGGCCGGCGAGGCGACCGCGCCGGCCAAACCTTCCCCACGCAATAAGGACGGCCTCCCAATAGCCTAGAGCGGCTCCATGGAAGCGGCGGCACCAGCGATACAACAGCTGGTAGCACATAGCGAAGTCTATGATAGAGCGGCAGCGGGGTGGGGGGTGGGGGGGCAGTGAGGAATCTAGTGGCCCCTAGTGGGATGTTTAAAAAGTCCAGGCGTAAGTGCGGAGAGAGTTGGCAGTCCCGGAGAATAAAGGAGACGAGGGAAAAAGAGATGGCTGAGGACATCCATCTGAGATAAGAACCGGGAAAACCTCGGAAATCTAGTTACTCAAAAACAGAGAGAGAACAAAACGAATTTGCTACACTGAAGGTAACTTTTACACCAACTCCTTAATCTGAAAATTGCTAACTAAAAGGAAAGATTTAAGCATTTACCCTCTCAGTTTAGGAAGAACTGCAATTGATTCTTAGTCGATAAGGGAAAACTCTGTTTTAAAAGAGTGCCATCTAATAAATGCATAAGCAATGAAAGGATAAGAAAATCCCCATTCGTTCTACAACCCAAAATGAAATAATTGATTCAGGCAAGTGTTATAAATTACCAAAACTGTAATCAAAAGGTTGTTAGACAACAGGGTGTTATCATGGTGCCAAATATCACAACACAGATTATTTGCAAATCGCAGAAAGAAAAGATAACTTATGTCCTGGTTGGTGTGGCTCAGTGGTTGAGTGCTTCTGGTCCTGTGTCCAATCCTGGTCAGAGCATATGCCTGAGTTGCTGGCCAGGCGCCCAGTGTGGGCGTGAGAGGCAACCACACACTGATGTTTCTCTTTCTCCTTCCTTTCCCCTCTCTAAAAATAAGTAAATAAATCTCTTTAAAAATAATAATAACTTAAAATGGAATGATCTGATAGTCAACACCTTACGCAAGTGATCAAATTTTGCATCAATAATAGGACAACTTTTGACATTATGTGGTCTTTGATGAAGAGCAATAAGAAGCATGTAGCATCATCTATGAAGTATTCTTGTCAAAGTGTTTAATCTTAATCCAATCAAGCCTTTAGACCTAATTTGTAATTTATTGGATATTTACATGGGGAAAAAGAAACAAATTAAACCCATTACACTAAGGAGGTAATCAGCAAATCTAGAATGTGGGACATTCTGCAAGATAACTAGGCTGCTCTCTTCAAAAAGGCAATGTAATAGAAAAAAAAAGAATAAGGGGGGAGGAATAAGAAGTTAAAAAGGCAATAATGATCTAAAGTAATGTGTAGATCTTGTTTGGATACTGTGATTTTTTAAATTCCATATATTTTGGGGACAATTGAGGAAATTCAAACATGAACTGAATATTTGCTAATATTAGGAAGTATTGCTAATTTTCTGAAGTGTAATAATGTACTTGTGGTTATGTAGGAAGTACTACAATATTTAGGTGGCATATGATGAGTCCTGACCGGGCGGCTCAGTTGGTTGGAGCATCGTTGCATACACCGAAATGTTGAGGGTTTGATCCCCAGTCAGGGCATACACCTAGGTTGCAGGTTTGATACTGGATCAAGGCATATATGGGAAGCAATGGATCAATGTTTCACTCTCACATCGAAGTTTCTCTCTCTCCTTTCCTCTCTCTCCTTTTCTCTCTCTAAAATCAATTAAAAATATCCTTGGGTGAGGATTAACAAAATTTAAAAATTAAAAAGAAACAGGTTCATGATGAACTATTTAAGGGTGAAGGGTCATGATTTATGCAACAAACATTCAGGGGGCTCACATAGGTATGTCAATGAAGTAAGTGTGGTAAAGTGTTAGCAATTATTGAGTGTAGGTGATAGGTTTTATGGGTGATCACTGTACTGCTTAAACTTTTATTTTTATTTATTTATTTTTTAAAGATTTCATTTATTTATTTTTTGACAGAGGGAAAAGGAGAAGAAAGAGAGGGAGAGAAACATCAATGTGTGGTTGCCTCTTGCACGCACCCTCTACTGGGAACCTGGTCTGCAACCCAGGCTTGTGCCCTGACTGGGAATTGAATCAGAGACCCTTTGGTTTACAGGCCAGCACTCAATCCACTGAGCTACACCAGCCAGGGCTTAAACTTTTAAAAAATAGTTTTCATTAATAAAAATTGGAAAAAATATGTGAAATGGAACAAGATGTTGATAATTACTGAAGCTAGGTAACAGGAACATAGGGATCCATTACACTTCTTTCTCTACTCATAAATTTCCACATTAAAACTTTTTTTCTAAATCCTCAACTAAGAATACTTTTATAGATTTTAGAGAGAAAGGAAAAGAGAGAAACATCGATATGAGACACAAACATTGATCTGTTGCCTCCCATAGATGCCCTGACCCACATGGCATGTGGGGATCTAACCCACAACCTAGGTATGTGCCCTGACCAGGGATCAAACAAACTGTCAGACTTTTGGTACATGGGGGTACATGGGGGCAACATTCCACCCAACTAAGCCACTCAGCCACGGCCACATTAAATTTTTTTTTCTTTAATGGAGAAGAGCCCTGGAAGGGAATAAGACAAAATAAGGAGAAAGAAATTGAAAGAGACAATACATGCAGTGTTATTGAAACTTTGCTAAAATACTTTGGGTATTAGTTCTAGCCTTCATGTTAGTCAAGTTTGTCTGGGCAAACCCAATTCAATGGTGTGATCTGAAGAGGGGTAGTTTCTTTTTTTTTTTTTAATATTATAATTTTCTTTTTTTTTTAAAGATTTTATTTATTTATCTTTAGAGGGGAAGGGAAGGAGAGAGAGGGAGAGAAACATCAATGTATGGTTGCCTTTTGTGCATCCCTGCTGGGAATTGGCCTGCAGGGAACTGGCTTGCAACCCAGGTATGTGCCCTGACTGGGAATCGAACTGCGATTGTCTGGTTCGCAGGCCCGCGCTCAATCCACTGAGCTACAACAGCCAGGTGAAGAGGGGTAGTTTCTTGAAGTGGAAATAAGGTTCGGAGACCCCAGTGCCTTTCCTCACTCCCACCTACCCAACCACCACCACCACCCCCAAATGAGGGAGTGGACTTAGGAACAATGTGAAATAGAAATAAAAGGTCTCATTTGGCAAAGGCAAGAGCCAGAACAAATACTGAAAGAGAGGAAACAAAGTAGGATAATGTTAGGATACCCAGAAAAGAGCAAACTAAGGAGCAGGCTTACTGTGAGGCTTGGGCTGAATGTCAGATTAATTTCAAGATTTTACACTTGGGTCATTTTACCCCAGGAGTTCTGAGAGCCAGAGTGAAGATGAGTGGCTATCCATGAAATCATCTCTAATGTGGGAGACAAAACAAAGATCAAATTTGAAGCTGATAAAGTAACATCATCCTCTTCTAACAGCTACTATTGGGGATGGTCTACAATTGCAGCCAGCTTTGAAAAAGAAAGATGGGATGCACCTAACAGCAATAGCGGACAATTTTATGAATCACTAAATTCTCCTCAGAATAGAGCCAAGCTAGTCAAGTGAGTGAACCTGCCTGGGGCCACAGAACAACCAGATACAGGGCGATGATTCCCAAGGTAGCAAACGATAGACTCATCCCATGCCTGGCAGCCCGCAAAGCTGAAGTGGCAATTTGTATTTTAGATCTCATGGGTTTCCTTTCCTTTCCCATTCTCAATTGTGTGGAAATCTTGCTATACTTAGTTTCTTGTAAGAAAAGAACGACACAGAGTGGTAAAGGCATTAAGACAAAAACATTTGAGAACAATCACCTTGAAAGTCTTAAACTGATGTACTAAAGAGAGGACACAAATCCAATGCTCCAGGAACCAAGCAAGTAATGTAATCGGAGAAGCTGGCCTAAGAAAGGCAACAAGAAAATGAAAGGACAGTGAGAAGACTAGAAAGTACAGGACCCATCTATAAGGAATGACCACTACTGAGGGCCATATTTCTGCCTTTAGAAATGTGGGTCCACTGTTGCTAGAATTTCCAGTTTGAAATATAACTCTTTATTGAAAATGTCTGATATTTAACAGAGTGGTCCCTCAAAGTCTCATAGATACAGCCATCGGTGTCCAATTTTCAGCCCCTGGCAAAGATATACGTAAAAGGTTCACTGTGGCAGTTAAGTGATAGCAAGACTGGAAACAATCTAAAATTCCAGCAATAAAAGATTGGTGGATTAAACTGAAAGCTGTTAAAACAATGTTATCACCCGGGCCAAGTGGCTCAATTGCTTGGAGCATTATCCCTGCACCAAAAGACTGTTGGTGGGATCTTTAGTCTGGGCACATAACCAGGCTGCAGATTCAATCCCTGGTTAGGGTGCATGGGGGAGGCAACTGATCAATGTCTTTCACATCAATCTCTCTCTCTGCATCTCTCTCTCTCAGAAAAAAATCAATAAATATATCTTTGGGTGAGTTAAAAAAATATCTACATCGAGTATACTCACACAAATATGGAATCAAGTCCAAGATAGATAATTATTAAATGAGAAGATACTAGGTCCAAAAGAGGGCCTATACTATGCTTCCACTTGATATAAAGTGGGAGGGGGGCAATAGGAACAATGTGAGGTAGAAATAAAAAAGGTGGGGTGGAGATGGGGACATAACTATGCAGAATAGCTCTGGAAGTATACAAAAGAATCTAATAGTCCTGGTTGCTTTTGAGGAGGAAACTGAGAATCTGAGATGAAAGGAGAACTTACTTTTTACCGAGCATTCTATTAAAAATATACTTTCAGCCCTGGCTGGTGTGGCTCAGTGGCCTGAGTGCTGGTTTGTGAATCCAAAGGTAACTAACTGGTTTGGTTCTCAGTCAGGTCACATGCCTGGTCCCAAGTTGGGGGTGTGCGAGAGGCAACCACACATCGATGTTTCTCTCCCCCTCTTTCTCCCTCCCTTCCCCTCTCTCTAAAAATAAATAAAATATTTGAAGTATATATATATATTTTCAGCTTTTAAGAAGTTAATAAACTTTTGAGAAACAATAGTAACACAACAGCAAGGTGCTCTGTATACAGCTAGAAATGCCAGGAAGGGGAGATATGCATTCTATTATGAAGGCAGCTATGCTCACCACTATACCACCAACGCCACACTGCATTCTATTAAAAGTAGAAAGTCAGTGGATTTTCTCACTCACTTGTTTTTTCTATATTCCCTGCTTCCCATACCCCACCCCGCCCCCTACACCACACTGGTCCCTTCTCATTGTCTCTCATTTCTCCTTTGTCAACATCTGTTTCTCTTCACCTCACCATCCCCCAGTGCCTACATCTCCCCTCTCCTCAAAAAAGAAGAGCTGATGAATAAATGAAAATGGAGAGTGACTGGAAAAAAGCATTAGAATAGTTCCCAAATCCAGAACACTGAAAAAGCAGGCATTATTAGCCTAGGCTTTCCTAATAAAATTAGAAGCTAGCCCTAAAATATAGGAAGATCTCAAGCATTTATTTCATATCACCTATCCCAGGGACAAGTCATGGATGTAATACAGCCAGCTAAAAATACTGTTTCTCTGTTCTTCAAGCCCCTATTTAACCCCCAAGCCCCGTGGCCCACACCTCAGAAACACCTCTCAAGTCCACTCCCTTCTTTAGCTCATCTCCCCGCCTTCAGCTTCATTTCCTTCTGCTTTCAGGCTCCTGAGTGGGAACTCAGGTTCGGGAACTTCTGAACTTTCATTCTACATCTTTAAAACTCTGTGCCTCTATAAAACTACTGCCTTAAATCCATTGGATTACGAGTAGAGACTCAAGCTGTAGCTGGTGTGGCTCAGTGGGTTGAGCACCAGCCTGCTAACCAAAAGGTTGGTGGTTTGATTCCCAGTCAGGGTACATGCCTGGGTTGTGGGCCATGTCCGTTTGGGGCCATGTGAGAGGCAACTGATTGATGTTTTTCTCCCTTTCTCTCTCCCTCCAGTCCCCTGTCTCTAGAAATTAATTTAAAAAAAGAGTAGAGACTCAAGCCTAACTGCCTCATTTCAAATCCTGACAAGTCTTCACCTACAAAATGGGACTACTAGTACCTAACTTAGAGTTGCTGTGAAGATTACACAAGTTATAAAGCACTCAGTGCCTGGCACATAATAAATGCTCAATGTTAACTGACACTATTTACCGACTGAAAGACTCTATCATGTTGAGGCCCAGCCCAAACCTAGCTCATTTTCTCAGTGGCAGTCACTCCTTCCTTTGCTCCCCCACTGCTTAATCCCTGTCTTTCTTGTGGTCTTCCTTTTTAACTGTACTATAACCTATTCACATAGTCACGTGTCTGTCTGATCCATTAGATCTTGCAGGTTACTCTCATCCACCTTTGTAGCCTCAGTACCCCAGAACTCCGTATTTCCTCGATAAACAATTCTCCAGGAAGTCATTCTGGGATACCTGTGATCCCAAAATATACTACGGAGCTTCCTAACTCTGTAGCATCTAACCTCAGCACATTCCTTTCCCAGCTCCTGTCTGCCATCTACTTGGTATATCCACTCTCAATTTTTTTCCACTCATATTTTCACACTCAAGGCCCAAGAGGTAGTTGAAATGTCACTTTTTCTATGAAGTCATCTTTAGTCAAAGACTCCTCCTTCCCTTCCTGGTCATTTCTAGGTTTATAGCCCTCTGGCATTTTGTAGCATCTATCTTTATCAATCAGCTCTCTTGGATGTTTTTCCTCTAGACTACAGATCTGGGAGAACCTAATGTGTCATACTATGCATGGCCCTCAATTCTAGGTGTACATCAGAATCACCCGCACACTTTCTTAAAAGTAATTTTTAGAACCCCATTCTTAAAGAGTCTTATTCAATAAATTTGGGGCAAAGTCCTAAGTTACTCTCTGATAGCTGATGGGCAGCCAGGGTTAAAAACCTCTGTAACAGATACAAAAACTTATGCTGAAGACCTATAGCCCTTCGTTAAAGGGAAGACAGTGAAGACTCATTCCATTAAGCCTAAACCAATTCTGAATGTTCCCACCAATTTAGAAACATAGAGGCAGTATGGTGTCTTGCTTGCTGATGCTCTGGTTACTTTCTACAAACCTGATGCACTCTAAAGGGTCTGTGGAAGGGCAGCAAAAGTAGTAGAATGTGCTGGGCCCAACCAAGGTAATGGCACAGGTGAACGGAGACCAAGAGAAACAGCTTTATTTGGACTGAGAATCGGAGAATGAGGGAAGGATTTGAGATGCATACTGAGATTAGATTCCAAAAAGGCATTCAGAACTCATCACCAAATAGACTCCACTTTGCAGCAGCCTTGCAGTTAGTGCAATCAATTAAAGGCATGCTGGGAAAAGTATTTGCCATTAAATCACCCAAGTGTGCCACAATAACAAAAAAAAAGGTACAGTTTGTTCTTTGGTTTCTTTTCTCCCATAATTAAGTTTCCAAAACACCTCCCCAACCACAAATATTACAAAAAAAGGTAAAAAATTAAAATTAAAAAACCCCACATTCTCTAGATCTTAGACTTGTCTTCAGTATTTAGCTCAAAAGTTTCACCATCTTCAAAAAATAGTTCTCTTACAAAACTCAACTAAAAGTTCTATCCAAGCACTGAGAAGATGGCCTTTGCTGGCCCATGGCAATTTGCTTTCCCATTTCCCCTAACCAGTTAGGGCTGAGGCTTAGACTGGGGGAGAGGGGGAGAGGGACAAAAGGGCCAATTTCCCCCAGTGCAAGATGGCATCTGAAGCTTGATGGGAGAGCAGAACTGGAGACTTGAGGGAAGGGTCCAGACCCTGCATTCAGTCAGAGTCACTGCTGGAAGAGGAGGAGGAGGAGGAATGCTGCAAGGGGAAAGGGGAAAGGAGATAGCATCAGATCCAAATGACATTTGATCACTCCATGGGACATTCTTTGGTGTCCTACCCCTCCACCCCAGTGTCTAAGAAGGTCAGGAGTCTTAAATCAGACTGTCCCTTAAATAGCAAAAGCAAGGATTTTTTTCTTCAGGAGTGAAAATACAGAAGAGGATTAAACCATCTTAATTCAATGCACACTCTTTAACATACTGCATTTGGAGCAAGTTTCTCAAATTTCTTTACCAGAGCCAATGCCCAGGCAAGGAATAAATTACAGACACAAGCATACTTTGGGCTAAAACATTCATCTGCAAGTAAGGAAGGGGACAGAAATTCTGGGAGAGAGAAAAGCAGACGAGTGCCTTTTGAATCTGATATCCATTCTAAGGTCAGCCTGCCCCTCACAGAGAGAAGGACCAATTAGCCTAATATTTCTTTTCAAGATGTTAGATTCTTCACAGTAGGAATCTTTCCTAGAGAAGAAGACCCATCTACCAGAGCAACACAATCACTGCCCCATGTCCTCAGGCTGTGAATCCCCCTTGGCTATCCCCAACTTGCCTGGTCTCTCTGAGGGAACACCCCTTCCTAGCCAAGCTCCAGAGGGTACTAACCTTGCCATACTTATGGTGTTTATGCATCTTTTTATGAGCTTTCTTCATTTTCTTCCGCATCTTCTTGTCCATCACCATTCCTGGTCCCACCATGCCAGGAGCCAGCGGATTCACAGCAGGCATTCCAGGGGCAGGTGGTGGGTATGGAGGGGGGTAGGGACCTGATGGTTGGCCTCCTGGATGTGCTGGTTGTGGCACAGGATAAGAGGGCCCAACTGGGGGCAAAGCTGGATTCCCCGGGGGAGCTCCTGGCGGGGGAGTGGGAAAGGGGCCTGGAGGAAAGGCAGGGTTGACAGGCGGTGGATAGGCAGGATTGGAACCTCCAGGGTACCCGACATTAGGGGGATACGGATTTGGCCCTGGCTGCCCTGGTGGAAGAAGCAAAGAATAAATTAAAATTAGAATTGCCCAGAGCCTCTGAAAAACAAATAACAAAATGAAGGGGATTCAGTTTCTCACACAATCCTTAAAGGGTTAGGGTGGGAGAAGAGTGTCCCCCGCCCCACACCAAACACTTACCAGCATTGGGATTCCACATCGTCAGGTGCTTCCTGCAGCCTGAGGAGAAAGAAATGAAGGCAAAAACGTTGACGGCCCATAGGTGGTAAGAGAATTTAAAGACCGAGTCCCACCCCAATGCCTCCAGCTCTACAGTACGCTCTGACAAGTACCCTCACCTCCACATAACAAATGTGTCTTTCCACCCGTTCTTTTGCCCTCAATATCTACTTTATTCCTGCTTCCCTAACCACAGAAACCTAGCTCCCAGGGCTGCCCCACCTTCCACTACCTCTGGCCGCAGTTGGAAGTCTAACTCCGAAGAGAGGTGCAGAGTCCGCACGATATCCCCGCCCCTCATCTCCCTTTCTGTGACTGAATCCATGACCTTTACCGACCACAGATTAAGAAAGGATTTTGAACATTTTACCGCCCCCTCCCCAGGAACAGGGCAGGGGACAGCATCCCCACCTCAGGCTAAGAGACAGACCTTTCTCTTTTTTATTATTTATTGAATTCCTGTACATGCACTGATAGGGGGATGGAACCCGCAACAAAGGCATAAGGAGACCACGCTATAACCAACTGAGCTACTCGACCAAGGCCAGAGGTGGGTACCCCCCTGCCCACCGCCCCACCTTCTCGAGGCCAACCAGGAACATGTAGGAGAAACCAAAAAGGTGGCTCAGGAAAAATCCTCAAACGCTTACATATGTAGACACACCCTCTTGCCCATTAAAAGGGCAAATGGAGATCCTGGCTTCCAGCTGCCAAGGGACCCCTGACCCAGGAAAGGGAAAAGGAGGAAATTGGGGAATCCAGATGCTCCCTCACCTTTACACCGCCGCCTGGGGTCGACTTTGTCCTTTTTTCAGTCTCCGCTCTCACTTCCTGGTCACCGCCAACCTAGGCTTCGGCACCCGCCTCTACCACCACCTAATTGGTAATTATGTGGTCATTCGGCATTATGATTGGAGAATATGTTCATCAATCACTCTAGTCCCTGACAGGCTAGAGGACTACGGTTGAGATAGGGGCGGAGCCAAGCTCTTTAGAGGCGGGTGCGGAGTGGGTGAGCCGGAAATCCTTGCCTGTGGAACAAGGAGGGACGGGTTGGGACCGGGCTGAGTCAGTTTCAGAGTAAAGCCCTTAAGAATGCAGAGAGCTTCTGGGCAGTTTCTTGCCTTGTGGGTGTAACACCTTTTAATGTCAATACAGTACACCCTGATAAAGTGTTGCAACACAGATATATACCAAGTGCTTAGGGACCAGAGGGAAGCTGCTGAGTCTCAGCACAAAGCCTCAATATTGCCACCTCCCTCCTAGCCTCTGTGGGAAGTAAAGAAACGTTCTTGTCGGGAATACAGAGATTTCCTAATCTCTCCTCGGTTGCCCCATCTGAATTGCATAGCTCCGCCGTCTGTCGAGTTGCATAAACTAGGAACAGTCCCAGGCCTTAAGGAAGGACACTCCTCCAGGCGGAACCAGGAAGGTGGCTCAGGAAAAATCCTCCGAGGCATACATATGTAGACACTCCCTTTGCCCTTACCCATTAAAAAGGGCAAAGGGAGTTCCTGGCTCCCAGCTGTAGAATTGCTTAAACCAGGAATCGAGGAAGTCATCCTTGATGGCTCCATCTTTCGCCTCTTTCCCAACTCCCTCCAACACCATTGCATTGTGGAATCCCTGCACTTTTCATGTTTCTTGCTCCCAAACTACCATCATCTCTTGACAGGATTACTGCAATGGCCTTTTTTTTTTTCCTTAATAACGCAATTAACAAACTTGATTTTTTTAAAGATTTTATTTATTAGATAGAGGGGAAGGGAGGAAGAGAGGGAAACATCAATGTGTGTTTGCCTCTTGCGTGCCCCCTCTTGGGGACCTGGCCCAGGCACCTGTCCTGACTGGGAATCCAACCAGCAACCCTTTGGTTCATAGTCCAGTGCTCAATGCACTGAGCCACACCAGCCAGGGCACAAACTTGATTTAATAAACATATAAGTATATAGAAACATGCACCCAAAACTTTAAAAATACTCATTCTTCTAAAGCATACTTAAGCATCTTATAAAAACTGGTCTTAACTAATATAGTTCTAGTTTCAAAGCATTGTATGTACCACTAATCATCATTCTGTCGATAAATTTTCAGAGTCCAGACATTTCACATAAATGGAAAATTGTACAGTATGTGGCCTTTTGTTACTTTCACTTAGCATAATATTTTCAAGGTTTATTTGTGCTGTAATATTAATCAATACTTCATTTCTTTTTATAAAGGAAATACTGAATAATATGCCACTGAATGTATCTACCACTTTTGTTTATTTATGTGTCAGTTGATGGACATTTAAATTGTTTTTACGCCCATGTGTCTTTAGGACCTGTCAGCTATGGCAGTCTCCCTTCCTAGCCATGGAAGAGCACATTCTTGTTTATTGGCAAAGCTGTCACCATTTAATTGATATCAGATTCTGACTTGTACAAGTAACATTCTTCATTGAAAAATAAAAATAAAAAAATTAATTGTTTTTATTTTGCTTATTATGAATATTGCTGTTGTAAACATTCACATACAAGTTTTTGTGTGACCATATATTTTCAGTACTTTCGGGTAGGTGCCAATGAGAGAAATACTGGGTCATATGATAACTTTGTATATAATTTTTTTAAGGAACTACCAGGCTATTTTTCAAAATAGCCACAACATTTTACATTCCCACCAGCAATGTATAAGAGTTCCAATTTCTCCACATCTGTGTCAACACTTATTACTGTTTTTATTAGTACAGTACAGCCATTCTACTGGGTGTGAAATGTTATCAAATTGTAGTTCACAATGATCTCTTAGCAATCCTGTCAGCATTCACTCTGGCCTTCTTCCAATTCATTTTTCACACTGCAACCTGGGAGATTTTTTTCTAAAGCCAAATCTGATGTCACCCTACTGCTTAAAATTTTTCAATGACTTTTCATTATCTTCAAGACAAAAGTCATAACTATTTTTAAAGATTTATTTATTTTTAGAAAGAGGAGAAGAGAGGGAGAGAAATATCTATGTGCAAGAGATACATCAATTGGTTGCCTCTTGCACAAGCTGGGAACCAGACCCACAACCCAGGCATGTGCCCTCACTGGGAATCAAACTGGAGAACTTCTGGTTCGCAGGCCAGCACTCAGTCCACTGAGCCATACCAACCAGGGCAAAACTATGTTTCCATGTATGTGTTCATTTTTGTTCAATAGGTAGGTAACATGAGCTGAAAACAAACAACAATAGAGGTATAAATTGGTAAGGCTCCCTCCTACTCTTGTTCTTCATCTTCCCAGACTCTCCCAACCCACATAACCCCTGTAATTAGTTTTTTATGTATACTTTCACAGCTTTTTCATTACAACCAAGCAAATACTGATATAAACTTATGTTTCTCCTTTAAATACAAAAGCAGCAAATTATGCAGAGTTAATTTTCAACCCTCTCCTAATTAATATATCTTGGAGATATTTCCATATTAGTAAATAGGTATCATAACTCAGTAATGTTCACAACGGCATTTTATTCTTTTGTATGATGTACCACAATTAATTTAACCAGTCAGCAGATTTTCACATTATTTTCAGTCATCTGCTATTAAAAATAGTTGCAATAAACAACCCTGTATAAGCCCTGGCTGGTGTAGCTCAATGGATTGAGTGCAGGCCTGTGAACCAGAGTACTGCAGTTTGATTCCCAGTCAGGGCACATGCCTGGATTGCAGGCCAGTTCCCAGCGGGGGATGCATGAGAGGCAATCACACATTGATATTTCTCTCCTTCTTTCCTTTCTTTCCCCTCTAAAGATAAATAAATAAAATCTGAAAAAATAAAAAAAGTAACCCTGTATATATGATATTTTACATATTCTTACTTTTTGTAGCTATTGATGTATTACTCCCATAGAGGCTGTATTTGTATTCTCACCAGTGATGAATACAAACTCATCCAACAAAAAAACCCTCAAAATCATATTACTGTCACGTCTATGGTGTTCTGGCCCTGCTACCTCTCTAGTCTCACTTCATACTGCTCACCCCTGGCTTTCTGTCCTCCAGCCTCCAGAAGATCTTGGTTCCTTTTGCAGGATGGCCTTTGCAAATACTGACCCTTCAACCTGAATGTTCTCCCCATTTCTCTCTACTTTTCCTAATTAACTTCTGCTCATTCATCAGCTTTCAGCTCCAGGATCACTTACTTCTTCAGGGAAGAATCCTGGGTACTATAATCAGGTGAGGTGCCGTTGTTGTAGTTTCTGATGCAATCTTGCCTTTCCTTTAACACACCTATCTCAGTTTATAAATATACGTGAGTCAGTACATACTTTATTAACGTCAGCTTTCTATTTTAGGCTGCAAGCCTCTTGAAAGCAGGGACTGCGTTCACTAATGCTCAACACTTCACACACTGCCTGGAGCGTAGGAGAATGTCAATGAATAAACTGTTAAATTTGAAATTATGTGAATGAATGAATGAATGAATGAATGAATGAATGAACGAGGAGAAATGAAGTATGGTGGCTCTGGAGTCAGTCAAATAGGCCTGTATTATTGACCTGCCACTCATTGCAAGACCTTAAATAAGTGATTTAATCTCTTGGAACCTCTGTTTCCTCATCTGTAAAATACAATTGGCCCTCCATATTTACTCGTCTTGCATAGGGTGGTTGTGATGAGATAGTCATGGATCTGCAACATAATTTACGGTTATTATATGCTAGAATGGATTACTATCATAATTCTCATTAATATTAAGAATTGTTACTATTCGACCAGGATCATTTTAACCTCTTGCAGGACCTTCATAAGTTGCCAATATCCTCCATATCTCTCTCTTCACCTACCTGCTACATGGAAAATTCTTTCTCAGATTTAAACTTGGATTCTTTAAATGCATTTAAATAACTATGTTAAAGCTCACTTCAGCTCATTCATTAAGTCAGTAGTTATTTGCCATGTAGTTATTTATCTATCATTCATCCATTCAACAAATACTTCTCAAGCTATTCAGGTACTGTTCTAAGCACTGGAAAGAGAGTAAAAACACAATAGAAAAAAAAAAACATTGTTTTCACTGAGGTACTATTCTGGAGGAAGAGAGAGAATATCAATAAACATATAATAAACTGTCAGGTAACGAGTATACTATATAGAAAAATGAATAAGATAAGAGAGGAGGTATGGTGCAGGTATTTATACATTTTTGTAAGATATGTAAAAGAGTTCGGATTTTATGCTAAGTGTGAATGGAAGCCTCTGGAGTATTTTGAGCACAGGAATGTCATGATCGGATTTTCACTCTTAAAAACTCATTCTGTAAAATCAGTGTTCATAGAAGCATTATTCATAATAGCCCAAAGACAGAAACAACCCAATGTCCATGAACAGATGAATGGAAAAACAAAACGAAGAATGTATCGCCCCGGCCAGTGTGGCTCAGTTGGTTGGACTGTCTTCTGTAGACCGAAAGGTGGCGGGTTTGATTCCTGATCAGGGCACATACCCAGGCTGCAGATTTGATCCCCAGTCAGGGTACTCATGAGAAGGCTGCTGAATGAAATGTTTCTCTTCCTTTCTCTCTCTCCCCCTCCCTCCACCTAGCTCCCTCCCTCCTTTCCTCTCTCCCTTCTCTAAAAGCAATGGAAAAAAAAAATCAGGCGAGGATAAGAAAAAAATGTGGCATGTAAGTACAATGGAATAGTGTTGAGCCTTAAAAGGAAAGGAGCCCTGGCCAGTGTGGCTCAGCTAGTTGGGCATCAGGGCACATGCCTGTGTTGCAAGCACATATAAGAGGTAACAGATCAATATTTCTTTCTCATATCGATGTTTCTCTCCCTCTTTTTCTCCCTCCCTTCCACTCTCTCTAAAACCAATAAG